GTGCTTTAACCCCTATGTCACCTGCTGGCCTTAATGGGAGCTTTTTAGGTCTGTACAGAAGAACAGCCACAAAACGTGCTTTAACCCCTATGTCACCTGCTGGCCTTAATGGGAGCTTTTTAGGTCTGTACAGAAGAACAGCCACAAAACAAATTATGTAACAACAAAGTCAGGAGATTTACAATCCAGGACAACAGAAGCAGCAGTCTGTAGGAGTGGGAGTTCATGATGACAGTAGCTCACAGGGGGTGACAGATGTCCACATTCTGGTCCTAGGTCATCACAGGCAGGAGAAAGTTGTCTACCCCTGCAGAGAGTATGGAAAAGGACCTCTGGGTGATGCAACCTTCTCAAGCTATGGCTTTGCCCTGTGCCTGGATATTCACCAACATCTTTGGAATGGTGGTGGAGGTGAAGGAAATGTCTATGAAAAACAAGGTGGAGAAGAAGCAGTACTTGGGCACATAGAGGAGGCGGTCTGTAGAGGATAATTACTTTATTTTTGCTAGTGGCTACATAGGCACTGTGGACACAGGGCTCAAGAAGAAACAGAATAATAAATGTGAGGAAGAACGCAGATGATAGACAATAAAACAAATCAGTGTATTAAAGTCTATATTAGGAACAATTCAAGTAGTGGTATAACATGGAAGGATGGACCAATATCTAGATGATTCTGGTGTCAAATTTTCATGTATTATACATATAATTGACCATATTGCCAAGTGTACTTATTTTGTTCCTATGATGGAAGTACAATATAAGATAATTATTATTATCATTTTTGAGAGACTTTTGCTATAAGATGTTTGTGTTTGCTGCAGAGACAGAGAGAGACAGAGAGATAGAAAGTGAGAAATCATCCCCCAGAGAGGATGGCCATGCCACAATCCCTTCTCCTCCATTCTCCTCTTAGGATTTTGGGCACACACACATGTGCCGAGTGTGTGTTTCTAGTTGCCCGGTCCAGAACTTGAACAGTGGTCAACTATGTGGGTGTCCAGTGATGTGAGCATTTTGCCATCTGGTGGTCTCCACAAGATTATTTTTAATAGGAAAAAAGGTTCCTATGATGGAAGTACAATATAAGATAATTATTATTATCATTTTTGAGAGACTTTTGCTATAAGATGTTTGTGTTTGCTGCAGAGACAGAGAGAGACAGAGAGATAGAAAGTGAGAAATCATCCCCCAGAGAGGATGGCCATGCCACAATCCCTTCTCCTCCATTCTCCTCTTAGGATTTTGGGCACACACACATGTGCCGAGTGTGTGTTTCTAGTTGCCCGGTCCAGAACTTGAACAGTGGTCAACTATGTGGGTGTCCAGTGATGTGAGCATTTTGCCATCTGGTGGTCTCCACAAGATTATTTTTAATAGGAAAAAAGAAAACTAGTTGGTGTATCTCACTTGAGAAGAAATTATTCAACAGGAATTCATGTTGTTCCAAAAATTTTGTACCATTTCTATGTATTTATGAACTATGATTAGGATCCTAATTATAGTTCAAAAATATTTTGTAAAAAACCAAAAATGAACAAATGGCAATTTTTCTTTCAGACAGAGCACAAAACTTACTAAGGTAATGTTCTTAATATATAAAGAAATTGAAATCAAACAATTATTCAACAGGAATTCATGTTGTTCCAAAAATTTTGTACCATTTCTATGTATTTATGAACTATGATTAGGATCCTAATTATAGTTCAAAAATATTTTGTAAAAAACCAAAAATGAACAAATGGCAATTTTTCTTTCAGACAGAGCACAAAACTTACTAAGGTAATGTTCTTAATATATAAAGAAATTGAAATCAAACTCATGTAAGATCCTGGAGATGATTAGAAGGAGCAAGTTCTACTTTCATTATAATCAGATTGTCAGCATTTCTGAGTCTGATGCTGTGAATCCTAACAGGGACACTGTTTCAGTACCAGAACAATTTATTCTACAATAGTTTTCCTCTCAGTGAATCTTCTCAGGGCTCTCTTTATGTCTTCATTCCTCAGACTGTAGATGAAGGGGTTCAGCATGGGGGTGACCACAGTGTACATCACTGAGGCTGCTGCACTTGAGTGTGAATTTTGAGTATCAGCCCCACTAAGATACACACCTAGACTCGTACCATATAATAAGGTGACTACTGAGAGGTGAGAGGCACAGGTAGAAAATGCCTTGTACTTCCCTTGAGCAGATGAGATTTTACGTATGGTGGATGCTATCTTACAGTAAGAGTAAAGGATCCCAGCGAAGGGACCACCAGCCAGCAATATGGCTCCCAAATACATGACAATGTCATTAATGAAGGTGTCAGAACAGGCAAGGTGGACTACCTGGTTAAATTCACAGAAAAAGTGGGGGATTTGAGTGTGTGTCCCGAAGGACAGCCGTAACACCATTAAGCTCTGTAACAAGGAATACAGGACACTTGTGATCCAGGACACCAGAACCAGCACCACACAGAGCCAGGGGTGCATGATGACCGTGTAGTGCAGGGGATGACAGATGGCCACATACCGGTCATAGGCCATCACAGTCAGGAGGAAGTCATCCAACACTATAAAGAGTATGAAAAAGTTCATCTGGGTGATGCAGCCTGCATAGGTGATGACCTTGCTCTGTGTCTGGATGTTCACCAGCATCTTTGGGACGGTGGTGGAGGTGAAACAGATGTCCACAAAGGACAGGTTGGAGAGGAAGAAGTACATGGGGGTGTGCAGGTGGGAGTCTGAGATGGTGGCCAGGATGATGAGCAGATTTCCACACACAGTGATCAGGTACATGGAGAGGAAAAGCCCAAATAGGAAGGGCTGCAATTCTGGTTCCTCTGAAAGCCCCACAAGATAGAATTCCGAAATTTCTGTATTGTTCCTTGGTTCCATGTGGCGGAGATAACTACCAGGAAGAAAAAAGTAACATGACTGTTTTTCACTCAAAATAATGTAACTCTCATAGGTAAAATGCTACACTTCATGTTTTGAAGTCAAGAAACTGATTTCTATATTTTGGGTAAGGATCCGACCCTTTTACACTTTCTTAGTCTGGGAATTCCTGTCTTATTGTCAATCTTTCCATAAAAGTTCAGGCATTGTACAGTTATATTTTCATTTATTCACTTACTTTTAAAATTGCCAGAGAGCGCATGGGCTTCCTGGAGAAGGACAAAGGGAGGAAGAAAGTGAGAATACACCCACCATGAAGGATGGCCATGCCACCAGTCTCTTTTCTTCTATTCTCCCTTTAGGATTTTGGGCACATGCACAGGCACACGCACACTCCCTGTGCAGTTTTCTAGCCACCAGATTGAAGACCCAAACCACACAGTTGGCCATGTGGTATCCAGTCACTTTAATCACCAGGCCACTGACTGACCATTCTATAGATACTGGATTTTTTGGAAAGGTTTTTGTTATTGGGTCCATGCGCTCACCAGAAAGACAGAGAGAGACAGAGAAAGAGAAAGCAAGAAATCACCCCCCAGGGGGTTGGCCACACCACAATCCCTTCTCTTCCATTCTCCTCTTGGGATCCTGGGCACGTATGCCTAGAGTAGTAAGTTTAATCCACGGGGTCTGGGACTTGAACCATTGTTGACTACATGGGAGTCGAGCAACATAGCCATTACTGCAACTGCTGGCTCCCCATTCTACAATTTTACTAAGAAATTTTTTTATGCATTTTAGCAACACAAATTGAGAGTCTACCACATTATAGGCAATCCAAATAATGAGTGTAGGGAGGACCACTGAGTGATTTTAAGATGAATGTAAAAAATATTTTCCACAGGATAGAGAGGTCATTGAATGTGTTTATAAAATTCACTTCCACTATGAAAGCTAAAAATATAGGAATAAGAATAACGTGAAGTTTTGAGCTGTTGGAAAATTCATGACTTTTTTCTTTTTTTTTTTTTTTTTTCTATATGCGTAATGCCTTTTCAGACAACTCAATAAAATAGTAAAATGTACAAAAGACAAATACTATTGATGATGCCAAACTTGTTAAGCTTAAAAAACAAAAAGGAGGGGCAGTAGGTGGCATGGAGGTTAAGGCACTGCATCTCACATGGCCAGCTGTGTGGTTCAAGTCTCACATTCGTTGGCTTGAAAATCACACTGGGTGCATGTGTGTACATGCCCAAAGACCAAAGAGGTGAAGGTGGGAGAAGGGATTGTGGTTTGCTCATCTTCCCTAGGGGGTGACTTCTCACCTTTTCTCTCTCTCTCTTTTACTCTCTGGTGAGTGCGTGTGTCTCGTAAGAACTTTTCAATAAATGTAATTGAAAGAGACAACTATGCAAGTTGAACAACTTGGACATACCAACTTAAAAGTTTTATGTATTATCTCATAAAATATCAATATATATCTCTCTATCTATATCTATCTAGCTATCTATCTATTATCTATCATCTAACTATCATCTATCTATGAGAAAGCTAACCAGTTAACTATCATAAAGAAATAATAAATGACAAACAGTGAAAAAACTCCAATTATTTCTTTGAAAGAATAAAATCAAAAGAACCCAATACATAAATGCTGCTCTTCAGGTCAGCAGGTAGCATAGTGGTTATGGCACTGGACTCCCACATGGTTGACCACAATTTGAATCCCAGATCTGGCAACATGAAAAAATCACACTGGAAGAATATGGAAGAGTTACTGCTGAGTGAAGCAAGCCAGGCTATGAAAGAGAGACATTGTATGTCCCCACTTAATATATACCGAGTGTCTGTACTCTATGAAACTGATTGACTAAAGGTTGTACAAACACAAGAGGTGGGTGTGAATGCCAGATGTGGTGTGTGTGGAGGAGTGGGACCTAAGGAACGACATTTGGAGGAGGGATACGGAGGCAGAGCATTGACGGGATGGGGAGGTGTGGTGTTTTTGGTTGAAGATATTTCGATCAACTGGACTGGGGAGAAATGTTCACATATTGAAATGTTTACTTTGTAAGCTAAACAATGTGATTGAATGTATATAAAAAATAATAAATAAATAAAAAGATAAAATAAAAATCACGCTTGGCCTGTGTGCATGTGTGCCCAAAAATCCAGGAGGAAAATGGAAGAAAAGGGATTATGGTGTAACTATCACACCCACATCTCATGTTCCCTCTCACTGTCTCTGTCTTTTTGTCTAACTCATGTGTCCTAAGGCAAAGACTGCTATACATACATACATAAAAAGAGCATGCACATAGAGGTTTGCAGGAAGGAGAAATTGAATATCTGATTTGGAGGGATTCTGGCCCCAATGTGTTCTAACATTAGTGAAACCCCTTTACTCCTCCTTTTCCTTCTTTGGTCTCATCTAATACTACTTCAATTCTCATCCAAGCTTTGCAGTCTAAAATGCTTTTTTTCTTTATAGGTTTTTGCCATAGAGAATGTACGCTTGTCAGAGAGAGACAGTGAGCAAAAAAGTGAGAAACCACTGCCCAGTGGGGATGGCCACGCTGCAGTCCCTTATAAGTATTCTCAGGATTTGGAGCATACATGCACACATGTCTGGTGTGATTTTTCAAGCCACTGAGTCGGGGACCTGAACTGCACTGCACTTGGTCATATGGGAGTCCAGCTCCTTAAATGCCATACCACCTGCTGACCCCTGGGTAATTCTTTTTAATCTCTCAAATGGGGTGCAACACTCCTGGAGGACCTGCAATACCAGGTCAATGCATAGATTGGATGACACAAGCTCCCCATTTCATCTCCCTGCTCCAAAAATGACTTAATATACTGTCCTAAGATAGAGGACGTTTGAGATATTAAACTGATTAGAACAGATGCCACTTGATATTAGCTGGAAGATCAAGAAGCAATTAGACACTTCAATTTTTTAAAAAATTTTTTGCCATAGGACAAATGCACTCACTAGAGAGGGAGAGAGGGGAAGAGAGAGAGAGAAAAAGAGAAACCACTCTCTCAGAGAATATGGCCACACTGCAATCCCTTCTCCTCCACTCTCCTGGGTTCTTGGGTATGCATGCACATGTACCTGGTGTGATTTTGAAACCCCAGGTCTGGGACTTAAACTGCATTCGGCCATGTCGGAGTCCAGTGCCTTAACCACCACATCACATGCTGGTCCTGACACTTCTATTTTTAACATACTAAATAAATCCAATACAAATTCATCCTCCAAGCGAACAGTGATCTTTGGGCTCTGGGCTAGGTTTATTGGGCTCTCAGGTGACCTCTGGCAAACATTCTCTGTTTCCATTCTCTTTGAACCTTTTTTTGCCAGCTCTCAGACTCACCTGGGTGAAGTTTCTGAAAATATCATTTTTCTTTAGGCATCTACATTGCTTTGCAGGAGTCTAAACAATGAAGACTGAAGCTCTGTCCCTAGCAGGACGAAAGGACAGAGTGCAGCATTGGTCCCGTAGTCTGACTTAAGACTGCAAAATCTGCAACCATGTTCCAACCAGCTGAAGGCTGCATACTCTGATGAAAACAGGCAAGATATTTACAGCCCCTTTTATCTGCACATTTGGTACATTTCCTTGTTCTTACTCTGAACCTAGGCTACCTGATTTCCCATGTGGACCCTGGTCTGGGCAGAAAGTAACATTTTCCTGCTCATTAATTGTTCCCATGGGTCTATGTTAGACATCAATGGAATCCAGCCTTTATCCCTCCCTCTCTGCGAACTCTCCTGCCTCTAGATATGCATGTAAGCACCTTTTACCAACCTGAGTTCAACTGTTCTACAAAGTACTTGCCTTTGTTAGTTTCTCTGAAACACCAAATAACTCACTAGTTGAAGATACAGCTCCAAGTAGCCACTGCAAATGCTATTTCCTCTTCATGAATGGAGGGAACCGTGTTCTCCTGCTATAAAATCTTGTGGTATAAAAGCCAGCAATTGTGCCCAGCATGAGTTTCAAGCCATCCAGACTGGGACTCAAACCTTGGAAGGCTATTTGGGAGTCCAGTGCCTTAACCATTATAGTAGCGGCTTGTCCTTGTATCATTTGATTTTTACATGTGGGCAATAGAGGAGGCCAATGTCATTAAGAACTTGACCTTCCTTTGCAGAAGCTATAAGTTATGTTGTGTGATCTGCCCAAAGTTAGGAATTGAGTAAAGGATGAGCTTTGGTTGGAATCCATAAAGAAGTTTTCAGGTCTTACCCTAGGCTAATAGTTTTCAGAGTGATTGTGCCTTCAGGAGACATTTGGCAATGTCTGGTTAACTTCTGATTGTCACCAGTGGGGAGGTGTTACTGGTATTGAGTGGGTGGGGGCAAGGACACTGCTTGCTACAATGCACAGAAGAGCAGTGTCCAAGAGGAAGATCAGGTCATCTGTGTTTGGAGTAGCAAGAGGGAAATCAGGGCCAACAGGTGGCATGATGATTAAGACACTGGACTCCCTTAACATGGCTGATGCTGGTTCAAGTCCCCAAACTGGTGACTTAAAATCACGCTGGGCACCTGTGCCTTTTTGTTGAAGATCCCAGAAATAGAATGGGATGGCAGGATGTCCATTTCTCATGGGGAGGGGGGGTGATTTCTTACTTTGCCTCTTACTGTCTCTCTCTAGCAAGTGTTCATGTCCTATGTCAAAAAATTTTTTTAAAATAAAACAAAGCAAGAGAACAAGAGGGAGATGTGCCAAATGAGCAGGTAAAGGGAGCTATAAATATCTCTTATTTTTTTAAAGAATTACTTCCTTTATTTTATTTATCATTTCTGTTACTTTTTAGTTTGATGAAAGAGGAGAGAGAGGGAGAGAGAGAGAGAGAGAGAAAGCCACCAGGTCCAGAATTTGAACTGCAGTTGGCCATTTGGGAATCCAGTATCCTTAATGAACATGACACCTGCTGGCCCCTTTTCTTTCTTTTTTTAAAGACTTATTTAGTATTATTATTATTAAATTTGCTATAGAGCACACACACTCACCCAAGGGAGACAGAGAGGAAAACTGAGAAAACAAAACACCAGAGCCAGGACTCGAACCATGGTTAGCCATGTCAGGGTCCAGTGCCACCATGACAGAAGGTGGCCCATCCCACTGTGATTTTTCAATCCTCAAATTCTAGTATTCAAACTACACAATTGGTCAGGAAGGGGTTCAACATGGGGTGACTACAGTGTTCATTACAGAGGCTACTGCATTGTCTGTGAGATGTGGATAGCACAACACTAAGACACATGTCTAGGACTGTACAGTAAAATAAGGAGACAAAGAGAACTAAGAGGCACAGATGGAAAATGCTTTCTACATCCCTTGAGCTGATGAGATTGCTCATGCAGAGGAAACTATCTTAGAGTAAGAGTAAAGGATTCCAGTGAGGGTTCCATGCCTCCAAAACACAGATGCAAAATACATGACCACATCATTGAAAGAGGTGTCTAGGGACCAGCAGTTAGCGTAATGGCTATGTCGCTGGACTCCCATGTAGCCGACTGCGGTTCGAGTCCTGGACCCGGTGACTTAAACTCATGCTGAGCGCGTGTGCGTGCGTGCCCAAGATCCTGAGAGGAAAATGGAAGATAAGGGATTGCAGTGTGGCCATCCCCCCTGGGGGGTGATTTCTTGCTTTCTATCTCTCTGTCTCTCATTGTCTTTCTGGCAAGTGCATGCGCCCTATAGTAAAAACCTCTCAAAAAATAAAAAATAAAAAAAGAAAGAGGTGTCTAAAGAGCAAAGGTGGACCACCTATATAAATTTAAAGAAGAAATGGGAGAATGAAAGCTCATAGAATGTGTGCTGGAGAGGAGAGAGACAGAGCGAGACAGTGAGAGAGAAAATGAGAAATCAACTTCCATTGGGGTTGGACATGTCAAAAATCCTTCTCCATTCTCCTCCTGGCATTTTGGGCATGCACGCACTTGTACCCAGCATGAGGTTTAAGTACCAGGTCCAGGACTCAAAGTATATTGGACAATGTGGGAGTCCAGTGCCTTAATAACAACATGATATGCTGGCCCCCATGGAAGCTTTTTAAGCATACACAGAAGAACAACCACTAAACCATTAAATTATGTAACAATAAAGGCAGAACACTCATAATCTAAGACAACTGAAGTAGCAGTTCTCAGAAATGAGTTCATGATAACTGTAGAATGCAGGTGGTGACAGTGGCCATATGCTGGTTCTAGGCCATTATAGTCAGGAGAAAGTTGTTTATCCCTTCAAAGAGTATGAAAAAGGACATCTGGGTGATACAGCCATTTTAAGTTATGGATTTGCTCTCTGTCTGGGTATTCACGCACACCTTTGGAACGATGTTGAAGGTAAAAGAAATATCTATAAAGGACAAGATGGAGATCTAGTACAATGTGAGCTCCTAAAGGAAGGGATCTGTGAATACTATTTATTTAGCTTTGTAAGTGACTACATTGGCACTGTAGTTACAGAGCTCAAGAAGATACAGGGAGAAAAACCCCACAGATGACAAATGATAAAACAAATCAGTGTGTTAAACTTTGTATCAGGAACAATTAAAGTAGTGATATAACAGGGAAGGATGTGCAAGTGATTTTCTGACTTGCACATTCATGTTTATTGTGGTATTATTCCAACTGCTAAGATATGGAACCAAGCCAAATGTCCATAAATAGATGAATGGATGGAAAAAGTGTGGCACTTATACACAGTGGAACACTATACTCCCATTAAAAAAATGAGACCCTGGCATTTGATAGAAAGTGAAAAATATGGAAGATTGTCTGCTACGCAATGCAAGCCAGATGCCAGACTATGAAAGAGAGGCATTGTATGTCACCACTCAATACGTACTGAATGTCAGTACTCTATGGCAGAAGCTGAAAGATGGGAAGGTATGAAAGCATAGAGACAGTGCAGGAGGAGGGCAGGAAATGGGAGAGGTTGGGAAGGAGGGAATGAACTAAAAAGGAAAGAAAAAAATGTTTAAGGGACATAAAGATGGAAAATTATCTGTTGATCATGACACATGTAATTTCTTTGACTAAGCCTATATGCAACGTATTCACAATGGAAAATCTCACTTGACAAAATGTAATGAAATACACTGATGGAATGTAAAAAACTAACTAACTTAATTAGTTAATTAAATAATATGAGCGAAAAATGCTAGATAAAACTTAAAAAGAAACATAGAAGCAAAAACACAAGGAAGGATGCACACAAAATTGGAAAATTCTAGTCAGATTTTCTGGTATTATACAATCATAAAATGGATCATTGCTGCCAAGTGTACTTTTTTGATTCCTATAATGGAAGAACAACACTGGATTATTTTAACTAGAAAATAGAAAAAATACTTGACATATATCATTTGGGAAGAAATTATTAATCAGAAATTCACATTGCTCCATAAAATGAGTGAGTGTTACTGAATATTTCTGATCTATGATTAGGATAAACTTGTGGAAACACAAAGAAGGAAGAAAGGAAAAAAAATGCTATTAGACAGACCATAAAGCTTAATAGAATGATGTTTTTTCATTGTGTGGCGATGTTTATTCAAAGTTAGGAAACTTATTGAAGATGATTAGAAGGAACAAGTTCTACCTCTGAACAACAATTCGATTGTCAGCATTTCTGAATCTAAACTGTAAGACTTCCTAATGAGGAACATTTTTTTGGTACCAGGAAAATTCATTCAATGCTGGTTTCCTTCCCAATGAGTCTTCTCAGAGCCCTCTTTATGTCTTTATTCCTCAGACTGTAGATGAAGGGGTTCAGCATGGGGGTGACCACAATGTACATCACCGAGGCTGCTGCACTTGAGTGTGAATTTTGATTATCAACAGCACTAAGGTACACTCCTTGAAATGAACAGTAAAATAAGGAGACAACTGAGAGGTGAGAGGCACAGGTGGAAAAGGCTTTGTACTTCCCCTGAGCTGATGAGATCTTACGTATGGAGGAAACTATCTTACAGTAAGAGTAAAGGATGCCAGTAAGGGTTGCACTACCCAGCAGCACGGCTGCAAAATATATGACAATGTCATTAATGAAGGTGTCAGAACAGGCAAGGTGCAACACCTGGATAAATTCACAGAAAAAGTGGGGGATTTGGGTATGTGGACAGAAGGACAGCTGCAACACCATTGAGTTTTGGAGCAAGGATTGCAAGACACATGTGATCCAAGACCCCAGAACCAGTAACACACAGAACTGAGAATTCATGATGATGGTGTAGTGAAGGGGGTGACAGATGGCCACATACCGGTCATAGGCCATCACAGTCAGGAGGAAGCCTTCCAACACTATAAAGAGTATGTAAAAGAACATCTGGGTGATGCAGCCTGCATAGGTGATGACCTTGCTCTGTGTCTGGATGTTCACCAGCATCTTTGGGACGGTGGTGGAGGTGAAACAGATGTCAGCAAAGGACAGGTTGGAGAGGAAGAAGTACATGGGGGTGTGCAGGTGGGAGTCTGAGATGGTGGCCAGGATGATGAGCAGGTTTCCACACACAGTGATCAGGTACATGGAGAGGAAAAGCCCAAATATGAGGGGCTGCAATTCTGGTTCCTCTGATAATCCAAGAAGAATAAATTCCAATTTTTTTGTATCATTCCCTGGTTCCATGTGTAGAGGTGACTAGGAAAAAGAAAGATAAAATGAGTAAATTTTGCTCAAAAAGCTATTACTCACAGAGTTATAATAAAGTAGTTCAATTTATGTTTTCAGTGAATAAAGTAATTTACCTGTCCCTTATTGGTATGTCTTCCTTTTGTATATCTCTCTGTTCGAGCTATCTTCAGTTAGGGATTCCTGTCTCCTTCTCAACCTTTCCACAAGAGGTCATGAATTCCACATGTGTATTTAGAAATTCTTTTGTCCATTTGAGTCATATAATTTGAGAGCTGCACCTTGTTCCAGAAAAGGTTTGGGAAATTAGTGTAAATATTTGAGAAACTAAAATAAGTACAGTCTATTGATAATTAGGAATAATGTGCTGATAAAGAAATAATCATAGAATAGGAACAAATGTTTCATTAGAAATTAACCCCAATCAGAAGGACTTAGATTAATAAAATAAAGATGATAGGTGCAGGGAGAGTAGATGGTGCAGTGGATATGTCACTGGACTCCCACTTGGCTAACCACAGTTAAAGTCCTGGATCCAGTTACTTGAAAACCATGATTGATGCATGCGTTTGTGTGCGTGCGTGTGTGTGTGTGTTTGTGTTTGTGTGTGTGCCCAATATCCTGGGAGGAGAATGGAGGAGAAGGGATTATGGTGTGACAATCCCTCTGGGATGTTATTTCTCACTTTCTCTCTCACTGTCTGTCTATCTCTCTCTCCAATGAGTGCACACACACTAGGGCAAAAAGCAAAAAAACTTTTTAAAAAAATAATGAGAAGTGCTGGTTATGCTGTGGTGAAAAGGGAACTCTACTGTTCATGAGAATGTGTTTTAGTTCAGCCTCAGTGGAGAACAATATGAGGGTTCCTCAGGAACCTACAATCAGAATTACCATGTGCTCCAGCAATTCCACTCCTGGGTATCTACCCATAGATAGGAATACACTCAGTCAGAGAAACATAGGTATATCCATGATTATTGCAGCATTATTTACAATTGTGACAATAAGCAACCAATTCAAATTGCCAAGAACAGATGAATGGATTGAAAAAGTGTGGCAAATTAACACTATGGACTACCACTCAGTCATAAAAAGAACGAGACCTGACATTTGATAGAAAGTGGAAGAATATGAAAGATTCAATACTAAGTGAAGCAAGCCAGACTATGAAAGAGAGGCATTGTATGTCCCCACTTAATATATATGGAATGTCTGCACTCTATGGTATAAACTAAAAGATTGGGAGGTACAAAAGCATGGAGAGCAACTGTGGATATTAGAGACAGTGTGGGAGGGAGTGGGTGAGAAATGGGGGAGGGTGAGAGGGAGGGAATCAAGGGGGAAAGAAAGAAGAGAAACTGTTAAGGAAATACATGTGGAAAGAAATACATGCTTCTTAAGGGAAAATATCACATATGCAAATTCAGAGAGCCATTAATTCAGAAAAATGAAAAATTATCATTCCGTGATACTATGTACGGTAATATCTTTGATTGGATTAATAGGCAGTGTATTTATAATGGGAAAATTCATCTTATGATGTAATGATATACAGTGATTGAAGGTAAAAGAAATAAGAAAAAAATTTTAAAAAAGCACTAACCATAATTTACAAAAAAAGAAGAAAGAAATTGCAACTTACTACATTTGGAAGGTGTTAAGCTTTTTTTTTTTTTTTTTTTGGAGAGGTTTCGCTATAGGGCGCGTGTGCTTGCCAGACAGACAGAGAGAGACAGAGAGACAGAAAGCGAGAAATCACCCCCAGGGGGGATGGTCACGCCGCAATCCCTTCTCCATTCTCCTCTCGGGATCTTGGGCATGCACACACACGCACCCGGAGTGATTTTTAAGTCACCGGGTCCAGGATGCAAACTGCGGTCGACTACATGGGAGTCCAGCGACATAGCCATTACACTAACTGCTGGTTCCCGAGGGTGTTAAGCTTTATCCTTTGCTTTATTTTACCATTTTGATTGTGATCATATATGCAAATGCAGATAGCCATTACTTTCTCCTATTTAATATCTAAAAGTTTCATAAATATCAACCTAAATATTTAACTTATTAAACAATTTGCAAAACATTAATAACATTTTCTGTGCCAAGGGTACATATATTGTGAAAGTAAAGCCTCTCAAAGTGAAATAGAATTTCCTCTATATCTTTAAAAAAATGAATGATATAATGTATGAAATATTAACAAGTGCTCTGAAGAGCATGAAATTATATAGATAAGAGAGAGTATACATGAGTGCTTTTTCTTGGGGGTAGACAGCGCAAGTGACAGACCAGGCAACCTTTGAATAGAGTCCCAAGGGAAGATAGGGTGGGAGCTGCAAAGGGATCTGGGAAGTGAACAACTTGCAGAGGCAAAGAGGAAAAGGGAGAAAGGTGAGATTTCAGGGCATGTTGAGGAAGGAGGGGGCTTGTTGATGCAGTAACTTGAGGACTCAGGGTTCTTCATTCCCAGCTGTTGCATTCTCTGTGTATGTAGCCATGCGAGAATGTAGATCTAACAGCAAGACTTTATTTGCAAAGATTCCGATAGACATGTAAATTTGGAGCTGAATTTTGAAGTGGCCATTCTGTGCTCTGTATTTAAAAAGATGTAAAAGAAGAAGTAGAGAAATGAAAGAAATGCACTGAGAGGGAAACAGATCTGATAGACTTAGGTGACCCAGGGAGACTGGAATAAAGAGAGACTCATCAGCTCTATCAGATGGTAACACTGGTGACATGCTTTTCAAGCCCTGGGGAAGAAAGAAAAAAATTAACTGGCAGAGATGACTTGCATACACACAAAAATAAAAAGACTAACAAAAGCCTAAATAAATTCAGCGGTCAGCACCAAAGAAATGGTTGCATTGCAAAGCTCTTTAATTCTCTCCTGTGATTCTTTAGTTCAACTTATTATTTATTTATTTATCTTTGAATATCTGATATGAGAGAAGATACTGGGAAATGTCTCTGTCATGAACTGTTTGGCAAGGGACTATTTGGAAGCATTTCTTTCTGATCTTTGTAATGACTATGGAAGCATGTTCAAATACAGCTCATCTTAAAAGTTCAATAAAAAAATGTCAACACCTCGGTGCACATCCTTCCACACCAAATACTCAAAGTTCCTTCCCCTTTATTGTCAATCTCCATGGTATGCTCTAACTTGAGTAGAACTATGTTTCTCTTCTCAGTTCTGTCTCATCCAGGTAAACTTAAAAGCTCATCACTTAATTGTTCACAGTGACCCATGCATTGCAGAGATTAAAAGACATTTTTGTTTTGTTTTGCTATAGGGCATGTGCACTTGCCTGAGAGAGATGGGCTGAGGGGTCAGAGTGAATAATCACTCTCCAGTGGGTATGGACACACTGCAATTCTCTTGGGATTTTGCACACACACACACACACACACACACACACACACACACATACAGAGGTCACTCCAGATTTAGGAATCAAAAGGCTCAGTCGCTCGTGTGGAATCCAGCTGTTTTAATTAACCTCCACGCCACCTTCTGGCTCTAAAACTTCACTTTTTTTTTTTTTGAGAGTTTTTTTGCAGCAATTTCTTCTCCTCCATTCTCCTCTCGATATCACGGGTGCACACGCACACACGCCCAGCGTTAGTTCAAGCCACCGGTCCAGGACTCAAGACGTGGTCACCTACATGAGAATCCAACGACATAGCCATCATGCCAACTACTGGTCCCCAAACTTCACATTTTAACAAAGAAAATAAATTAATTACAAATTATCTTATCAACCAAACAAACACATCTGTTTCTGGGCAATGTTGGTTGATCTCTGAAATAACTTCAGGAACATTTCTTCAAATTCCATTTTTTTGTGAAACTTTTCTGCATTGTTTACAGGCTCTAAGACTCACCTGGATGAAGTCTCTGACAAGAAGGTCTCCATGTTTGGGTCTAAACTCCTCCCTGGATGGTGGATGATGGAGACCGAAGTTCAGTTCCCAGAGAAGACAGCAGGAAGGTCTTCAGGAACATCAATACCCCATCCAGACTTAGGTCATCAATATCTTTCACCCAACCCAAGGCTGCATACTCTGGTGAACAAGGACAAAAGATATCCTTACAGCTCCCTAAATCTGCTTACTTGGCCCATTTCCATCTTGTTACTACAATCCCTGAGCACCTGGTTTCCCTGTGGGACACATTCTGCCCAGAAAAGAAAATTTTCCTGTTGATTCTCTGTGCCCAAGGGACCAAGATAGATGTCAGGTAAATGCAGTCTTTATTATTCCTTCTCTGGAGGCTCTGCTATCTATAGAGCCGTCATCTTGTTAGCACTTTTGCGAGAGAGTATACATGAGTGCTTTTTCTTGGGGGTAGACAGCGCAAGTGACAGACCAGGCAACCTTTGAATAGAGTCCCAAGGGAAGATAGGGTGGGAGCTGCAAAGGGATCTGGGAAGTGAACAACTTGCAGAGGCAAAGAGGAAAAGGGAGAAAGGTGAGATTTCAGGGCATGTTGAGGAAGGAGGGGGCTTGTTGATGCAGTAACTTGAGGACTCAGGGTTCTTCATTCCCAGCTGTTGCATTCTCTGTGTATGTAGCCATGCGAGAATGTAGATCTAACAGCAAGACTTTATTTGCAAAGATTCCGATAGACATGTAAATTTGGAGCTGAATTTTGAAGTGGCCATTCTGTGCTCTGTATTTAAAAAGATGTAAAAGAAGAAGTAGAGAAATGAAAGAAATGCACTGAGAGGGAAACAGATCTG